ACAGTTCTCCTGGAGTCGACAACATCCGAGCAAAGGCTCTGCGGGCGGCAGCTAGTGATCTAGCAGAACCACTGGCTGTTTTCTATCAGCGATGTCTAGAAGAGAACCATATTCCACCATCCCTCCTATCCATAACGGAGGTAGCCTCACTGATTCTGCCAACTACCGTCCAATAACACTACTTCCCGTGCTATCCATAGTAATGGAATCAATCATTGCAGATGCGCTGATGCAGTAGCTGGAAATCTACAACTAAATAGCCTCAGAGCAACATGGCTTTCATCAAAAGCATTCGTGTAATATTAACCTATTAATTTCACCTGATAGCTGGACTGAAGCTGTTGATGATAGAATAGGAGTCCATGTCATCTACCTGGACTTTTCAAAAGCGGTTGATCGATTGGACATCACATTCTCCTTCAGAAGTTTCGGAACTACGTCAATGGCGACCTAATCCTGAGTTGGATTCGCAATTTTCTATACCAACGACGGCTAGTGGTGAGAGTCCGACAATCATTGTCTGATGCAATCGATGTGGCGAGTTGAGTACCAAAAGGCCCGGTTCTTAGACCTCGTCTATGCTTGGTGTTCAGTAAGGATTTGACGAGAACAGTTGTTTCCGATTTCCCATTTTTCGCTGATGATATCAAGATATGACGGATAATTAGAGGACCGGACAACCACGAACGGCTCCAGCGCGATCTTAACGCGGTGTCGAACTGGTCAGTTCAAAACGCCCTACCATTCAACGTAGACAAATGTCGCGTTGTACAATTACGCCATAGACATAACTGCACCTATGTGCTTGAGACAAACGGATTACAGATCAGCTCCCAGGAAAGTGACCTTGGTGTGATCGTACAGAGCGACCTCAACTGTCCAACACAGGCTGAGGTAGCTGCAAAAAGAGGCAATCAGCACGTCGGCATGCTGCGAGGGGCATTCGGGAGATTTGGCCCGTCAATCTTCCCAGTGATGCACGACTCCCGCGTGCCTCCACATGTTGGATACGCAATCCAAGCTTGGCAACCTTGAAGCGCGACCTAGAAGCGTTAGAAGCAGCACAACGAGGTGCAGCAAGGAACGTAAAGGGCCTGCGCTACCATCCTTACCACTGGAGGCTGAAGTTGCTGGGAATGTTCAACGGACGCTCTCGAACGCTGCGCGGCGATCTCATATTAGCGCATCAGATATTGTGTGACCCTAACCACGTATGCCGCCATTTGATGACACTTAGCCACAACACGAAGGTAAGGTGTAACTGCTTGAAACTGTAGGAACAATATAGCCGTCTACATTGTCGGCGGAATTACTTTTCCCTTCGGGTTTGCTAACCCTGGAACGCACTCCCAGGCTTAGTTGTATCCTCGCCTACTTTGGACGTTTTCAGAAAACGGTTAGTTGTTGCTCTTAGCTCCCAGCATTTTGTTACCTAAACACCTCTCTTGTGGATTACGCCAAGCATGCTTTTCAACTGGGTTTATGTATCAAATGGACTCAAATGAGCGACCATATTTTACTTTTCTCAAGCCTTATCTCGACGATCACTGCACCCCGGTGTCTTTCTGAACGTTTACGCTCCATAAGTTTTTAATTTTACACTGATCTAATTTATCAAATTATTCATCTAGGCAGACGTATTTTAGATGACCCAGATATATTTTGATTTCATCATATTCACCCCAACCATCCTACCGGAGGTACCAAGCACTTGCTTATATTTTGTGATAAATCATTGTCCATTGTTATGAAACTCCTGCCACGGCCGAAGGACAATTTAAAGCCGGTCTACAAGATGTCGTAACCAGTGATCCACTTCACAATCACATCACTGCCCATTCTGTTCATGACAGGTAACAGTCTATTTGTGCTGGATCTTATGTTTACTAACGATGAGCATTTGATTGATGTATTCGTTGTAAACTACCCGTCGGATCGCAATGATCACGCAGTCATCAGTTACAACTTCGTCTGCCATACAGAATATCGGAATGCGAACGATGAGACTGTGCGAACCATCACAAGCTACGATCGATTAGCCCAGCTCATCAGCGCCACAACTTGGTCGTTCCTTGACGAAGAACCCCCGGAAGTCGCCTGGCTCGAGTTCGTCAAAAAATTTGGGCAGCTGATTGCCGAAGCTTCAGAGATAAAAATTTCAATAAGTGTACATCAGTTTCTTTCGTTAGGAGCAGAAATAGAAACTGGATGACAGTACGCATCGTAGCATGGTGAGTGTACAGCAAAGCTCCAGCTCCAGAAATTGGAACAACTACGGAGCCCAACGTAACTACTGCACTCAACTGCTAAGAGAAGACAAAGCCGCCTATCAGCACAACGTTGCAGAAACCTACAGTGCTAACCACAATCGGCTGTACAAGCACCTCAACCGCCTAAGAAAGGTGAGGCAAGAATTTCCTCCACTCAAGCTAGCTGATGGTCCAACAAGAATGGCTGTGGAAGCTGCAAACGCGCTGCGGAAGCACTATGCCCCACGTTTCAAACGGTCTTACCACTAAGCAATTTACCATCCTTTATCGTCTCCTCGCAAGGCTGACCCAAATCACGTTTACTGCGGGGAATTTATTGCAAAAGCTGTCGTCTCTACGCAAACACAGCTCGCCGGATGTCGACACCATTCATTTAGACGCCCTAGAAGCTGCAGCAAGCCAACTTGCAGGACCATTAACTCAGTTTATCCAGCGCTGCTTAGACTGGCATCAAGTTCTCGCTATGTGGAAGCTTGAAATAATAACCCTTATTCACAAGGTTGGAAGCAGAACTGATTCCTCCAACTACCGCCCACTAGCCCTAATTCCTATAATTTCCATGATCATGGAATCCATAATTGCCGATGCAATTGCGTGTTGTCTAGAAACTGTAGCATCATCACGCCTGAGCTACATGGTTTCCGTCGACAGCAGTCATGTATAACGAATTGTCTAATCGCACGCAGTAGTTGGACCGAGCCAGCTGACGCTGGCGAAGGCGTTGATGTTATTTACCTGGATTTTTCGAAGGCTTTCGATCGTCTAGACCATCGGAAACTACACTCCAAGCTCCAGCATTACGGGAGCGGTGACTCTTGTTTAAGCTGGATTGCCAGCTTTCTACTTCAACAGCAATTAGTTGTCAGAGTGCGGAGTCCTTTACCGGGCCCCATGCAAGTCGAGTCTGGTGCGCCGCAAGGCTCAGTTCTAGGTCCACATTTGTTTTGTGTTTATTAATGACCTTGAATAGGGAATTGCATCAAACTCCCTAATGTTTGCCGATGATACCAAGATCTGGCGCAGGATCAAGGCAAACTTCGTCCAGCATTTACATCAGAGGGACCTATAACCTTATATTTTCGGTAAATTGCATGCATGACTCCTGAGTGGATATTTACAACAATTTGCCGAGAAGGGGCGAATGCCCCGGCATAATAATAATCATTGGTTTTAAGTAGACTTCAAAACTTTGGGCGGAACCGCTTCCATGGTCACCGTGTGTTTGTGTAATCCGACACTGAATGTATGAAATATCGGGTTGTGGGAATCGTTTTAGGAGGACTGGGAGGAAGCTCCCCTCATATATGTATCATATACCATCAGTGATAATCGGAGGGTGGAGAAGCAGATATCCGAGATGTCGAGTTTGGTAAAACCGAGAGTTGATAAGTATTTCGCCGAAGCCGGATATATAAATCCCCGATTGTTTAAGATAATTGGATGGTGATAAATCTCGCGTGTCTTGTGGAATTGTGCGCTTATATACTTCGAGATCATTGATGCGTTATTTCCGGAGCCATATTTGTCGACCTTCAGCTGGTGCGTACGCGCCATGCGGTCGGCGTCACAAATTCCGACATCCATGACGAGCACCGATGATCCCTTTACTGCGATTATATCTGGCTTGATGAATGAGGTCGCTGTTGGAATCCTTGGTTCGAGAACGATGTTCACTGTTCGTTTGCGGAGTTTTTTGGCGACTTGCTCTGCAATGACATTGTGGCGTTTACATCGTGCTTCATGATTGATGCCACATGATTGTAGGACATGGGACAGAGTCTCCTTTTGTCCACAGTTGCCGCGACATAGTAGCTCAGATTGGGTCTCAGGCGGTCGCCCTCTTGCGCGTCGTGCTTTTGTAGACAGTAACCCACCTCGAAGCTGTATTGCTCGAAAAAACAGTCCAGGGAATATCCTAGTGGGATTCCGCAGCCAGTGATGTGCAGCGGGGGTGGTGATCACTCCCTGGAGCGGGCACCCGTCTGCTGAGGTAAGTAGCGCGTCTTTCCATGCCTCCTCGGTTGATACTTTATCCATCACCACTCGGTTGCCGATGGTAACATTAGAGCGCGCCAGTCGATGAATGGAGCCAGCTGCGGGATCTCGGATGGCCCAGCTAGTAATTGGGTGTGCATTATTAAGATGTCGTTCTAATCGGTCCTTCCGTAACAGTGGAATAGTGGCGGATAAGCAGGGTATACCGATACCAAAGTCCCCGATTGAGGCGTGGAAATAAGCCAGGGTTGTGTCAGTGGGCAACCGGAGCCATTTTCTTACATGTGCTCGAACAAGCCTGTCCATGCGTTTTAGCGTCTGTTTGTGGACAACGGCTAAGCAGAGTTTATGAAGATGCCTTGGAAGCAGGAACGTCTTCAGAAGCTCCAAGCGCTGGTAGGGTTTTAAGGGCGCTTTTGTAATTTCTTCCAGTTGAGCACGTAACTCGCCTGCGGAAGCTGGCGGGAGTTTACCTTTCCAACTGAAAGGCAAGCCTAACATCGTGAATTTCTCTTCTGGTTGCAAGGAAGGAATAATGCAATCTCCACAGTCTAAAGGGGCGGTGTCCAGTATCGTTAGTTTTCTTGAACGGTCCACTACAATGTTGACGGAGGTTGACTTCATCTGGTTGATGGACAATCCTATGAGGGCTAGTTTATCACTGAAATGTTGCAAGCGCTCCTGCAGCGAAAACCGGTCCTGAGCAAATATCAGGACGTCATCCGCGTAGGCGAGCTAATCAATTGGCCCTACTGGGGATGTCCAGGGTTCAGAGGGTAAATCTTGCAGAGCTTCGTCCAGCGTCATGATAAATAGTAAGGGAGAGAGTGGATCTCCCTGTCTAACTCCTCGTTCCGGATGGAGGTGAACATTGTTGAAAGTGGAAGTAGCTGAGGAATAGTAGGAAGCAAGGTAATCCAGTAGCAGTGGGGGTGCGCCGAAAGCAGAGGCTGCGCGTAGTAAGGACTGATGAGAAAGAGAATCAAAGGCTTTGGAAATATCAATTGAAGCAAAGGAAAGTTGAGCGTATGAAGAATGCGCGTGTCGCAGTGCGGCGTGCATTATCGCAGGTGCTTCAAAGCATCCATCTTTACGTAGGAAGCCGAATTGTAGACGATTTGAAGGAAAAGTGGGAACCCAGCGGTCAAATAGGATTCGATGAAGCAGACGCGTAAAGACGGAAGTGACAGAAATAGGCCGAAATAACTCAGGAGAAGAGGGTGCATCAGCCTTGGGAACAAAAGTGATACGTGCTGTATTCATGTGTGAAGAGAAGGGCGAAGAAGCGAGGAGAGCGTTGAGAAACGCGGTTACAAAAACGGGGTCCATCCTCAATACATCCCGCGGTGTGACACGGTCAACCCCCGGTGCTGAGCCTTGCATCTGACGAATCGCTGCGCGCACCTCCTCTTGGGTGATGGGTCTCACCAAATCTGGGTTAGTGGGGAGGATATTGCGAGGTGGACGGTCATCATGTACTGGAGGCTGAGAAATGACTTTTGTCCAGAAGTCCGTAAAACCAGGGATACGGTCGTCTTCTTGCAGGAAAGCCGTTCGCCATCTGCCATCAATAACGGTTGCTGCTGCATCTTTACGCCTCGTATGGTAGAGACGTTGGATGTGACCATATTGTAGGCGTCGGCGTTGCTGATTGTTCTTAATGACTGGCGGTACCTTTTTGCGCTTTGTCGGCGCCCATCTCTGAGGGAATAGGCTGGTACATGCGGCATTAGCTCTCTACTATAGTGTTCCCGCGAGATGTCGTCTGGTAGGGAAATCAGCATGTTGAGAAGCAGGGAATTTGGTTCGTTATTGGCAGCTTTGCACCCACGCGCCAATCGTTGAGCCTCCGCGAGCAGAAGGCGGAATGGGGCTGTTTCATCTTCCATCTGTGTGGTAGAGTGCGAAACTGAGACTGCGGAAAGGGAGGGAGGATTGATCAAGTCAGCAGGAGCACTGAGAGGCAAAAGTGTGGACGTGGGCCGTGGCTCCGATTGGGAGTTTAGTCTATCGTCCGCGTTTAAGGGTGAATCCTTTCGCCTCAAAACAACGTCCTCCAGAGTGCTTTGTGATGCATCCAGGTCCACGGGAAGTAGACAGAACCCAGTCAGGATGGTGGGGTTGGCTTTCTGTATTGTGGATGAAGCAACTGTTGCAGCGGAAGTATTATTGTATGTATTACGTCGAGCAATCTTGTTCGTCGGTGGGGAGATGCTAGCAGCATGAAGGTCTTCGGTTGCCATATTCCGGGTAAGTTGTATTAATGAGTCAGCTGATGTCAAGCATAACGAGTTCGATGGTGTACACTGGCGTCGCTGCAGCGGTGAAAGGGAGGACGGTTGGATAAGTATCGGAGTGAGTGAAACCCGAGACTCTACACACTGCGCACGCCAATCAGCACAGTGCCAACCGATGCGCTGCAGGCGTTTCCGTATGCCCTCCTTCGTCCGCCATGGGAATGCCGTCTGTAATTTGTGAAGTAAAGTGACTAGTTTAGGGCAGGATCTAGCGAGGCATGAGGCCGCTTTACTTAGCTGTCTATCTTCGCCGGCCGACCAAGTAAAGGATTGTGCAGGAAGTCGTGCTAGACAGTCTGCATTGTATTGGACTGAATGTCGATGTCGTCGGTGTTGTGATAGGCCTCTTTGCGAAGCAAAGGAACGCCGGCAGGTATGACAGTTGAAATCGTGGAAATTGGCTGCGGCTGCAGAAGCCAGAAAGGCTGTTGGATTCCTTCGGTGGGCGGCGAGATGTCTCAGGAGACCACTGCTTGTCTTAAAGGTCCGAGGGCATAAATCGCAAGTTATAAGTTGTGTTACGGTGGAAACCGGTGGGGTGGGTGGCAAAGGGTTCGCGGGAAAAGAAACAGGATTATACGAATTCATTGCCTGGTAAGTAGGCAGTTGTGAGGAGGGACAAGGAGGAGAGACATATGGAAGTGTTGTCACGATGCGTGTGGGGGACGGTGACATAGGGGAGCGGTTCCGCAGGCTGGATTCGGATGCAGCAGAGGCTGATCCGTTTGCTACGTTGGTATAGTATCCAGCAGTTCCGCTGGACCGATGGTTCGAGCCAGGGGAAATAGGGGGACAAGCCAAAGCTTGCGCCGCGGGCCGTTCATAGGCCCCGATCCGCGGCTGGGGTTTTGGGTTTGGTGGTTGTATTTGTGGAAAAGGGGCTGAGTTCTCAGGAGTGTTTACTACGGCGGGTGAGACTGGAGAAGATTCATCGGATAGCCAAGGGCAGAGGAGATGTAACTCTGAGGGGTTCGCAGAGGCGTTGGGGCCTGATGGGGTTCCGAGATTTCGTTTAGAGAAAATTTCAACAGCCAGGGCAGCAGCAGGAGAAAAACGACCGGAACCCGAGGCCGGGGGCGGGCATACCGAAGAGTGAGGAGCGTTTGGCATGTCCGGATTATCCCCAGTGAAAAGGCTAGAGTCAGAACTAACTGTTGACGAGTGTCAGATGGTAGCTTTCCGCCGTCTGGGTTGAGATAACTGTGTAGGCCGGCGATTCCATTTCAGGAGTTGTAGCCTTCGCGTAATAGCTGCCTCCGTCCTCTTGGGAATCCGGTGTGTACGCTGTGTCACCAGTGTCCTACGAGTCAGTACATGGGCGTTCATCTTCGTTGCCACTCTAAGTAATTCCTCATCCTCTTGCTGGGTCCACCCTTCTAGCCGCACTGCTAATCCTGACCTTGACATATCCAGATATTCGTTGGGGTGCAGCAGCCGCAAATGCCGTAGTAAAGCAGCCCGGGATTGGTAATCCCGTGGACAATGGGAGCAGCATGCACTACTATACACGGCAGAGAACCGTATAGGTATATCAAAGGTCAACCCAAAACTTACTGCATTTCAAAGTCAGTAAACGCGAAGTAGTTTTCTTTCGACATTAGATCAGTTTCTTATACTGGCTCGGAACGAATGTACTGCAACAATCAGCTGACGAATGTGACTTGGGTGACTTGGTTCACGATGACCTTGGTCGCTCCAGGCAATCCGAAAAGGTCTCGGACTCTAGGAACCAACACGTCAGGCTATCGCGACTGGCGTTTGGACAAATAAACAGCTCCATAGTTCGACAAATGCCCAGTGTGGATGCTCGCCCCCATGTCGAATACGCAATTCAAGCCTGGCATCCAGGACTGAAACACGACCTTAGTGCCCTCAAGCAGCCACCACGTCGGGCACCTAAGAACGTAATTGGCATGCACAATCTTTCATACCAGGAGAGGCTGCAACGATTGGTGGTATTCAGTAAAAGCTAACGCAGACTACGAGGTGAGCTGATTATGGCATACTTGATTCTGCGAGACCCACGTCATGTGTGCCACCCTTTACTGAAACTCAGCAGCAATACAAAACTGAAGGGCCATTCATTGGAACTGGCTGTACAGCATAGCAGCCTGGAGTGCCGCAAAATTTCATTTTCATTCGTGCCTGCCACCCATGGAATGTTCTCCCAGAATCGGTCGTATCTGCATTGACACTAACAGTATTTACAAAACGGTTGGATGATGCGCTCATGTACTTATACATTACGTCTCCATGCTACACCTTTAGTTTACCATGTAATTATTTGATGTTAGTTGTGGGTGCTGTGAATCTAAGCCGAACAAAAAGTAAGTCCCTATTTTCATATTTAAGGTACTAACTGTTTTATTATCATTATTATCATTATTTTTCTGTCGATATCCCCAGCAACTATCCAACGGACTTGTAAAGCAACGCCTTTTAACCCGTATAAATTCATTGTTCAATTCATTGTTCATGTTATCGTTCATTGAGTTCTCCAAAATGATGGCATTTAAAATTCCGGTGTGGACAAGTAAAACGAGAATGCAGCAACCTTGTCCGATCATTTTGTTGACTTGGCCACACTTCACACTGTCTGAATTTTTCTGAGCGTGTGATTGAGCGGTGCCGTGAGTTTTAAACGAGTTATATTATCACCATTTTCTAGTTTCGGCATGGACTGCGGAGCGCCTTATCCGCCACTTGAAAATAATGTTCTTTCAGCTGTGTGATTCCGGTACACAAGGCTTTAGGTGGTAGGAGATAAATTTTAGGGAATTGAACCCATAGTAATATTTATTAATAATGTAGGATGCTTGTTAAAATACATACCGCGGACTTCCTTACACCATTTTCTATAATCCGTTTTCTTTTCAACAACTCACTCATCGTTATATTTCAACTTTTCCACTTTTATTCAACTTTGCAAATTGAGAATGTTACATATCAGTTTTGGATGTTTGGAGGCAGTCACCTCTTTAGAAACACGTTGCGCAAGAAGTTTACCCAATAAAACCCTTAGTTTTTGAGAACACAGAAACTGGTTGTCCTAATGAACAAGAGACCGTGCTCCACAGCGGTCGGTGCTCAGCAAGGGACTGGGAGGTTGCGGTGGCGGACAACGAGCCACTTTGCCTTGATGAAGGAAAAGGGAAGATTATATTGTGATGGAAGAGCTATTAATGTGGAGAAAAATGCCATGGGTTGTAACGCGGACCTAGGTTGATGTGAGTATGACGATAGTTTGAATGCACCGTAAAGTGCGTTGGCGGATTCCGTCGCTGTCATGGCTGTCGACGGTACCGCTGCTTTCCGTGCTGTCTTCCTTCAGCGTGTGTACCGCAATTTTGAGCAGTTCGAAAGCGACTTAAAGCGCTTTCAAATGCGTATTGTGTCATGTTTTTACAAATCGGCTCTCCTGACATCGGTTGCTTATAAGAGGAAAACCGGAAAAGAGTTGCCTGAGGGTGTGCGATACAAATCCGTACACTATGCGTGCATTGTACACGAAGGGGATACACATGCCAGCGGTAAGTTCACATGTAATGTATGTGAGACGCTTATTAACTTTAGGTACAAAAGTTACGACTGCAAGGCACATATAGCCGTACGGCATAACGGCTGGTGCTACGACATGGTGTCCTACAGCCCTCTGCACAGCCACAATTTCCATGTAGGTAAGCCGTTTCTGTATGTCAGCAACAGACGGCTCCCGCGGCACGCGGAAGAGGACATCTATCGCGTGATGCAGTCCTTCAAGGACACACGCAAGCTCCGGAGGTATGCGTGGTAGCACTATGGTAGACGGTTGAACAGTTATGACCTCCGGACCATAAGAGATAAGATGAAGGGAAAGGTAGAGGGAAACTCGGTTAACGCTGTTATACAATTGCTGGAGACGGCCGGCCAATGTAATGTAGAGTATGAGGAGTCCGAGGTACGCTACATCTTTTGTTCCCAGGTACGTACGTGACCTTGTGGAGCTTTATACGGAGGTATTGCTGGCAGACGGGACGCACCAGATGAACTGCGGTGGCTACCTACTGTGGCACTGCATGTTGGTTGTCTATGCATGGTACTGGACGT